TATTATTGTCGATGTGTTTCTTTGATTTTGTTATTAATTGGCTTATATAATTGGCTACTCCTATGTTAGGAGCATAAATATTTACTATTGTTAGATCTTCTTGTTGGACAGACCCTTTAAGTATGATAGAGTGTACTTCCTCATCTCTTATTGTAGTTTTTGGTTTAAAATCTAATTTGTCTGATATAAGGATTGGCACCCCACCTTTCTTTTGCATGTCCATTAGCATGGTAAATTATTTTCCACCCCTTCAGTTTTAAATCTGGAGTTGTCTTTAGGTCTGAAATGAGTCTCTTGTGGACAGCATTATCTATGAGTCTTGCTTTTTTTTAATCCAATCTGATACCCTGTCTCTTTCGATTGGGACATTTAGTCCATTTACATTCAGGGTAACTATTGGAAGATATTAATTCAGTGCCAATGTATTGCCTGTAAGGTGACTTTTACTGTATATTGTCTCTGTTTCTTGCTGGTCTGTTTTGCTTTTGGACTCTCTCTTCGCTTAAAGTATTCCTTTCAGTATTTCTTGTAGGGGTTTTGGTGATGGCAAATTCTTTTAGTTTCTGTTTGCCCTGGGTTTCTTCTTCTCTGTAATCATTGACCATTTACTGTGGGATCCTGCCTTAGGCTGATCTTCATTAATTGGAGAGCTATATTTTGGACAGAGGTGAAAATCCAGCTTCAATTCCAGTCCTATAGCAGCTTACAGGAGCTGTATATATCTCTACTTTTAGGCAGAATTAAAAAAAAAAAAAACGAACTTTTAAGTGGGGCTCCTGGGTGGCTCAGTGTGTTAAAGCCTCTGCCTTCGGCTCGGGTCATGATCCCAGGGTCCTGGGATCGAGCCCCACATCGGGCTCTCTGCTCAGCGGGGAGCCTGCTTTCCCCTCTCTCTCTCTGCCTGCCTCTCTGCCTACCTGTGATCTCTGTCTGTGAAGTGAATAAATAAAATCTTTTTTTAAAAAAACTTTTATTGAAGTATAACTACATTTAATTCATAAGTGTGACAGCTCAGTGAATTTTCACAAACCCAGACACCCCGTTTAGCCATTATTGAGATTAAGAGAGAGTACACTGCCAGGACCCATTAAGCCCTCCTCATGCTCCTTTTCTTTTACTCCTAGGACATACCATACTACCTCATACTGGGGGAGACAGTTTTCCTGACTTTTAATAGTGTAACTAGTAATGCTAGTAATAGTGTAACTAGTGATGCCTGTTTGTGAACCTAATTTGAGTGGGACTGTATAGTACACAGTGGCTTCCTTCCTTCACTACTGTTAGTAAGCTTATCCATGTTATTGCACATAGTTTATACAAGACAGATTTAGGTCAGTTTTAAAATTGGAAATGCTGCAGTTTTCAGATACAAATGTATTTTAAAATACTTAGAATAATAAAACCTCTTAATTTTTAAGTTTTGAAAAGTAACTGTGAAAGTACAGAATGAGAATATTGATTCTTAATAGAATGGGGAAAAAATGTAAGAGGCTTCTTTAATTACAAGTTTAACATAAGTTGTACAGGAGACTGTCAAAGAAGTCTGTTTTCTCTTGAGCAAAACTGTAGGAGTCTAATCCAAAACCAGTGATTACATTCCCTTAATTCTGATTTCATCAGCTGTTGGTGGTGGTATGTTCTTCCGTAGTTTGCACAATGTAAAGAGGAGTATTGAGAAACAAACTCAGCCTTCAGGAAATGGCCAGAAGAGACATGAGACTGCTCAGGGGCAGGTTGAATATGCTGACTGAGTTCAGATGGGTGAAAAGCTTTGGAAACTAGAGCAGTTAGACTTACTGTATGTAGTTTGGGAAGGTAAGACTCAGATCAGTGATTGCAAGTTGCAGAAAAGCAGATCTTACTTCACTCTTAGGAAGACCCCTATTTTGTTCAAATGGCCTATACAGTGAAATTTCCAGTGGCAGTGAACACCTCTAACACTCAAGACTATGGTCTCTATGTGCTATTTCCCATTAGAATGAACCAGAGTTCCTTGGGGAACAGACTGTTTCCAAGTACCAGATTGGAAATGTACAAGGTGATCCTAGTGATGGATATGTATCTCTTCACTTGTACTAGCCACTCTACTTTTTAATTTGAAATTTACCGTAACGAAATGCTTTTATAATCTCAGGGTCGTGGGACTGAACCCCGGGTGGGGCTCTGAGCTTAGTGAAAAGTCTGCTTGTCTCTCTGTCCCTCTGCCCTTCCCTCTACTCATGCTTGTACACTCGTTCTCTCGTCTCTAAAATAAATACATAAATATTTTAAAAGATAATTCAAAATAATTGCCTTCCATGTAGCTATGTAGTTAATTTGGTAGATGTATTTGTTTACATTGTTTTTAATATTTAGAGAATTGGAATATTTTTCTGTATGATATAATTTTGTTTCTTAAATATTTAAAACACTAATTACTATAAGCAAATGCAAAGAGCTCTGACTTCTGGGTTTCTTTCCTCCCTCATACATCACCATTTTCATTCATCTTTGCTCTTTTTCTTCCATGTTTAATATAATCAGGCATATGTTCATACTCCTCTATCCTGCTTTTCTTGTTTAACAATATATTCTTGAAGTGAATCACAGCACTGTGTTCCATAGTGCTCTGTTCTGCAGATACACTTTGGTTTATTCAGCCACTTGCCTGTAGATAATCATTTTAGGGATTTGCTATTAAAAGAGTGGTCGGGGCACCTGTCTGGCTCATTTGGGGGGAGCATGTGACTCTTGGTCTCAGGGTTGTGAGTTCAAGCCCCACATAGGATATAGAGATTGCATAAATAAATAAATTAACTAACTAACTTTAAAAAAAAACCATTTTTCACAAACAACATTTTTAAGACATAAAATCTCAAAACATAGTGTACATTTTATTACTTTCTGTATCCATTATATGTCTGCCTGTGTGTCTCGGAATAATAATCCCACAGTGGGATTCCAGAGATCTAGTTATGTAGGTGGTAGTTTCCCAGTTCTTACCGATCTCCCTGCTGTAGGAGTCATACCATGTTACATAGAGTTCATGTCTGGGTACTGGAATTTGTGTTTTGTTGCTCTGCCCTGTTCCATTGGGTCTTTTGTCTTTTCATGTGTCAGCGCCATACTGTTTTCATGATAGAAGCTTTAAAAAGTACTTTAACAGGAGCGCCTGGGTGGCTCAGTGGGTTAAGCCTCTGCCTTCAGGTCATGATATCAGGGTCCTGGGATCGAGCCCCACATCGGGCTCTCTGCTCAGTGGGGAGCCCACTACCCCCCCCCGTCTCTCTGCCTGCCTCTCTGCCTACTTGTGATCTCTCTCTGTGTCAAATAAATAAAATCTTTAAAAAAAAATAATTTAACATTTGGTATAGTTATCCCCTTGCTTTTCTTCTTTTTATGTTTGGGTTGGGGAGCAGAGGGAGAGAGAGAATCTTAAGCAGGCTCCACGGATGCTGGGCTTGATACAACTCTGAGATCATGATCTGAGCTGAAATCAAGAGGCAGACACTTAGCCAGCTAAGCCACTCAGGTGCCCTAGCTTTTCTTCTTTTTAGATTTTGCTAGCTATTCCTGCTTGTCTATTTTTTCCAATGAATGTGATAATTTTTCTTATTCCTGAAAGAAATCTTGGTGGTATTCTTATTGGGATAGTATTAAATTTGTAAATTTGTTTAGGGGAGAATTGTCATCTTTATGTCGTCTTTTCATGAATGCAGTACGTTTCTCCATTTGTTCAAGTCTTTCATTCCTCTTTCATGGCTAAAAAGAACTCTTTCTGTCAATCATACTTCAGTTGTTTAAAAAAAATCTATTCTGAAGGAAAAAAGAGGAACTGGAAAGAAGATCACTTTTTTTTTTTAAGATTTAATGTATTTATTTGACAGAGAGAGCAAGAGAAGGGGAGAGCATGAGCAGGGGAAGCAGCAGGTAGAGGGAGAGCGAGAAGCTGGCTCCCCCCTGAACGAGGAGCCTGATGCAGGGTTCAGTCCCAGGTCATGACTCCAGCGGAAGGCAGACCCTTAACCAGCTGAGCCACCCAGGCGCCCTAGAAGACAATTCTTTATTGTTATCCAAAAGTAAAACAGATTGGTGTGTGAAGTCATGAATTCGCCTGTAAAGTATATGGTGAGGATTTGTGAACTGGATAACAATTTTTTTTAATGACTTAAAAGTTATTTGTAGCCCTAAAATGTTATATAAAACTACATTCTAAAGAAAGTACAAATGTGGGGCACCTGGGTGGCTCAGTGGGTTAAAGCCTCTGCCTTCGGCTCTCGTCATAATCCCAGGGTCCTGGGATCGAGCCCTACATCGGGCTCTCTGCTCAGCGGGGAGCCTGCTTCCTCCTCTCTCTCTGCCTGCCTCTCTGCCTACTTGCAATCTCTGTCAAATAAATAAAATCTTTAAAAAAAAAAAAAAGAAAGAAAGAAAGAAAGTACGAATGTATTTCACTGTCCTTTTTACTCCTGTCACTGAAGAGGGAACTGGAGTGACTAGTCACTCAGGACCATGAGTGAGCGTGAGCTGAAGGAGTGACAGTGGGGGTCATACGGCGCTAGGTGGGGATCTTTGAAGACAGTGAAGGAGGTAGGCTGTGATCAATTATCTTAACAAAAGGACCATGGGATATTGTGACCAACAATTCTTCTCTTTTCAAAAACAGTGCATTTGTAGGCTAATGTGTGTTTATTCAGTTTAAAGTAAAGTAAGAGTAGACTGGTAATCTGCCTTTTTAGAACAATGTCAAAAAATAATAGGGGTTTTTCTAAATGCTGAGTAATATATATAGGTTTGTATGGAGGGTTGGAATTCAGCAAAGACAGAACACTTTGCTGGCCTCCGACAGCAGCAGAGGAGCTTTCATCCTGAGGCACAGTGTTACATCCGCCAGGCTTTTTTCGAATAGCGCCATTGCCTACCTTGATCTGATATGTGATCAGTCGGTTTGTTCACTTGTAATGCTGACCTGAAGTGATAGGTTTATTCTCTCTGAAACCTTTTTCTTGTTCAAATTTTAGGACCCTTCCAAGTTGTACAAGAAAACAGGTGATGTCGCAGCCGTTGAATGCCAGTCTGAAGAGAGCGTGCATCTTCATTCGCAGGGAGCCCACAGTCCTCTGTCCAAGAAGCTTTCTCCGGTGCACTCAGAAATGACAGATTACATTAACGCGGCATCCTCGACTCTGGTTGGTAGCCGGGATCCTGATTTAAAGGACAGAGCATTACTTAATGGAGGAACGAGTGTAACAGAGAAGTTGGCACAGCTCATTGCAACTTGTCCTCCCTCTAAGTCTTCCAAGGCTAAACCGAAGAAGTTAGGAACTGGCACTGCTTCGGGCTTGGTTAGCAAGGATTTGATCAGGAAAGCAGGTGTTGGCTCTGTAGCGGGAATAATACATAAGGACTTAATAAAAAAACCAGCTATCAGCACAGCAGTTGGATTGGTAACTAAAGATCCTGGAAAAAAGCCGGTGTTTAATGCAACAGTAGGATTGGTCAACAAGGACTCCGTGAGAAAACTCGGAGCTGGCAGTGCAGCCGTATTCATTAATAAAGACTTGGGCCGGAAGCCAGGGACCGTCACTACAGTAGGGCTGCTGAGCAAGGATTCAGGAAAGAAGCTAGGAATTGGTATTGTTCCAGGTTTAGTGAATAAGGAATCTGGAAAGAAATTAGGACTCGGCACTGTGGTCGGACTGGTTAATAAAGACTTGGGCAAGAAGTTAAGTTCCACCGTCGGCCTGGTGGCCAAGGACTGTGCGAAGAAGATCGTAGCCAGTTCCGCAATGGGATTAGTGACTAAGGACATGGGAAAGAAACTAGTGAGTTGTTCTATGGCGGGACTGGTCAGTCCAGACGCCATAAACCTTAAGGCCGAAGCACTGCTCCCCACTCAGGAGCCACTTAAGGCTTCTTGTAGTACAAACGTCAGTAGTCATGAAAGCCAGGGAATTCCGGAATCCCTGAAAGATAGTACCACCAGCAAAACTTTTGAGAAGAATGTCATACGGCAGAGTAAAGAAAGCATATTGGAGAAGTTCTCAGTTCGAAAAGAAATCATTAATTTGGAGAAGGAAATGTTTAATGAGGGAACATGCATTCAGCAGGACAGTTTCTCAGCCAGTGACCGGGGGCCATATGAAACCTCGAAGCACGAAAAGCAAGCTCCCGTGTACTGCACTTCTCCGGACTTCCAGACGGGAGCTGCTTCTGACGTGTCCACAGCAAAGTCCCCTTTCAGTGCGGCAGGGGAGGGCAGCCTCCCTTCCCCGTCACCTACTGCATCGGGTAACCCCTTAACCAGAAGTCCCCCTGAAATGTCTTCACAATTGGCCCCTCATCCGTTGCTTCTGAGTCCTCCCACGGACTTGCTGGAGGACATCTCCGGATCTGCTGGCAAGAAGCAGTTTCCTGCAGAAAGTGCCCACCTGAACGTCGGTCACAGGTCTGCGGGTCACAGCGTGAACATGGAATGTAAAGGAATCGATAAAGAGCTAGCTGATTCAAAAGCCACACACATAGATATTCCAAGAATAAGCTCTTCCCTGGGAAAAAAGCCACCTTTGACTTCTGAGTCCAGTATTCACGCGATCACGCCCTCCGTGGTTAACTTCACTAGTCTGTTCAGTAACAAGCCCTTTCTGAAACTCGGGGCGGTAAGTGCGTCTGACAAACACTGCCCGGTTGCTGAAAGCCTGAGCCCCAGCTTGCAGTCCAAACCGTTAAAGAAAAGGAAAGGGAGAAAACCCCGGTGGACTAAAGTGGTGGCAAGAAGCACATGCCGGTCTCCAAAAGGGCTAGAATTAGAAAGATCGGAGCTTTTCAAAAACGTTTCGTGCGGCTCACTATCAGGCGGTACTGCCGAGCCAGCCAAGTTCATGAAAAACATCGGCCCGTCTTCATTTGTTGACCATGACTTCCTTAAACGCCGGTTGCCAAAGTTGAGCAAGTCCGCAGCGCCATCTCTCGCTCTCTTAGCTGAGAGTGAAAAGACATCGCCCAAGGCTTTCGCTGCTCACAAGCTGCCCTCCAGCATGTGCGTCTCTAGTGACCTCCTGTCTGGTATCTATAAGCCCAAAAGAGGGCGACCTAAAGCGAAGGAGATGCCGCAGCTGGAAGGCCCGCCTAAGAGGACTTTGAAAATCCCTGCCTCCAAAGTTCTCTCTCTGCAGTCTAAGGAGGAACAGGAACCCCCAATTTTGCAGCCCGAAATTGAAATTCCTTCCTTCAAACAAAGTCTTTCTGTGTCTCCTTTTCCGAAAAAACGAGGCCGACCTAAGAGGCAGATGAGGTCACCGGTCAAGATGAAGCCACCTGTTCTCTCCGTGGCCCCGTTCGTTGCCACTGAGAGTCCGAGCAAGCTGGAGTCGGAGAGTGACAACCATCGAAGCGGCAGTGATTTCTTTGAGAGTGAGGACCAGCTTCAGGACCCGGACGATCTGGACGACAGTCACAGGCCCACCGTCTGCAGCATGAGTGACCTTGAGATGGAGCCGGATAAAAAAATTACCAAGAGAAACAATGGACAGTTCATGAAGACAATTATCCGCAAAATCAATAAAATGAAGACTTTGAAGAGGAAGAAGCTGTTGAATCAGATCCTGTCAAGCTCCGTAGAATCCAGTAATAAGGGGAAGGTGCAATCCAAGCTCCATAACACAGTGTCGAGTCTCGCCGCCACCTTCGGCTCTAAGCTGGGCCAGCAGATAAATGTCAGCAAGAAAGGAACCATTTACATAGGGAAGAGAAGGGGTCGGAAACCCAAAACTGTCTTAAATGGCATCCTTTCCGGCAGCCCCAGCAGCCTTGCGGTCCTTGAGCAAACCGCGCAGCAGGCGGCCGGTTCCGCGCTGGGACAGATTCTACCCCCTCTGCTGCCTTCGTCCGCCAGCGGTTCGGAGACCCTGCCGTCGCCCGTCTGCTCTCAGTCTTCCGGGACCAGCGGAGGCCAGAGCCCCGTGAGCAGCGACGCAGGCTTCGTGGAGCCCAGCTCAGCGCCGTACTTGCATTTACACTCCAGCCGGGGCAGCGTGATTCAGACTCTGGCCATGAAGAAGGCCACCAAGGGGAGGAGGCGACTCTCTCCCCCGACTCTGTTGCCAAATTCTCCCTCGCACTTGAGTGAGCTCACCTCTCTGAAGGAAGCAACTCCTTCACCCATCAGTGAGTCTCACAGCGATGAGACCATCCCCAGCGACAGTGGCATTGGGACAGATAATAACAGCACGTCAGACAGAGCGGAGAAGTTCTGTGGGCAGAAGAAGAGGAGGCATTCTTTTGAACACGTGTCTCTGATTCCCCCTGAAACCACCACAGTCCTGAGCAGCCTGAAAGAAAAACACAAGCATAAGTGCAAGCGCCGGACCCACGATTACCTCAGCTACGACAAGATGAAAAGGCAGAAGCGAAAACGGAAAAAGAAATACCCCCAGCTCCGAAGCAGACAGGACCCAGACTTCATCGCGGACCTGGAGGAGCTGATAAGTCGCCTGAGCGAGATTCGAATCACCCACCGAAGCCACCACTTCATCCCGCGAGACCTGCTGCCCACTATTTTTCGAATCAATTTTAACAGTTTCTATGCGCACCCCTCCTTCCCCTTAGACCCTTTGCACTACATTCGGAAACCTGATCTGAAAAAGAAGAGAGGGAGGCCTCCTAAGATGAGGGAGGCAATGGCTGAGATGCCCTTCATGCACAGCCTTAGTTTTCCTCTTTCCAGTACCGGGTTCTACCCCTCCTATGGCATGCCTTATTCCCCCTCACCCCTGGCGGCCACCCCCCTGGGGCTGGGCTACTACGGAAGGTACCCGCCCGCGCTCTATCCTCCTCCTCCTTCTCCTTCTTTCACGCCCCCCCTTCCGCCCCCTTCCTACATGCATGCTGGTCATCTACTGCTCAATCCCACCAAATACCATAAGAAAAAACACAAGCTGCTTCGACAGGAGGCCTTCCTCACAACCAGCAGGACTCCCCTCCTTTCCATGAGCACCTACCCCAGTGTCCCTCCCGAGATGGCCTACGGGTGGATGGTCGAGCACAAGCACAGGCACCGTCACAAGCACAGGGAACACCGCTCTTCCGAGCAGCCCCAGGTTTCCATGGACGCGGGCTCTTCCAGGTCTGTTTTGGAGTCTTTGAAGCGCTATCGATTTGGAAAGGAAACTGTTGGAGAGCGATACAAACACAAGGAAAAGCACCGATGTCATATGTCCTGCCCTCATCTCTCTCCTTCCAAAAGCTTAATAAATAGAGAAGAGCAGTGGGTTCACCGAGAGCCTTCAGATTCTAGCCCACTGGCCCTGGGACTCCAGACGCCTTTACAGATTGACTGTTCGGAAAGTTCTCCAAGTTTATCCCTTGGAGGATTCACTCCCAACTCTGATCCGGCCAGCAGTGATGAACATACGAACCTTTTCACAAGTGCAATAGTGCAAGGCAGCTGCAGAGTTTCGAACCCTAACTCCAGCGGCCGGAAGAAAGTAACGGACAGCCCTGGACTGTTTTCCGCACAGGACACTTCGCTAGCTCGGCCTCACAGGAAGGAGCCACTGCCTTCCGGCGAAAGGGCAGTGCAGACCATGACAGGTAAGCGGGTTATTGTTTCCTTGTCATTTGTATGGGAAAAGGAGGATATTCTGCCTACAGGTTGCCTGATACATGAATGTGGACCTTTAATAGAGCTCCTGGTTTTTTGTTTGTGTTTCTATAAATAAATGTGAAATGTTGTCTTCAAAGTTCTCATTTTCAGTAGATGTGAGAAGTAAGGTAAGGTATATCTTTGCAATAATTTTGAATTTTGAGAAGAGATACCATTATAAAAACAAGTAACGCTCAGCTTTTGGAAACCAGGAAAAATGATTCTTTCTTATGCAGAAAGGCCATTACACAGTTTCTTCTGTGAAAAATGGCTCATAGATATGTTAGGAGCTGTGCAAGACTTTCAAGATACATGCCAATCTAATAATCACAAGTGATGTTATGTTATAGGAAGAAAAGTTGGTAACCCTATATGCCTCAGAACAAAAATCTAGGCATTCAGAATCACCAGCTTCACAAAAGGTGACAGAATTCAGAGGGACATCATTCTGCAGAGTTCTCTCTAGGTATCTTCATAAAAGCTGCTTCAGTTGCATATAAAATGACATGAAGCAAATCTAGATAATAAATACATTTGTAACATCTGCAAAGTGTCTTAAGAATTGAAAGGGAAAAAAAATTGAAATAAAGATAGAAAACGAGATGCAGGAAACATTGCCTGACCCTGTAGAAGGCATCTCTAATCAGAAGTTCTTTATCAGAGATCTCAGCCCTGTGGGGGTTGTAACTTAACCCTAGGGAGTCCGTAGAGCCTCTCTTGTTATAAATAAAATGATGTGTATGTAGCTTATGTGTGCTTCTCTGGAGAAAATCCATACATTTCATCAGATTCTCTAAATTCCCTAAGCCTCTGTATCCGTTCCTATGAAATGGTAATAAGGCGGTCGGGCCAAGTAATGAGATCACAGTGTGCAGGGAAGGGGTTTGCCCGCAGTAAGTGCACCCATGTCAGTTGGTGGTGTTAGTCCCCCAAAGGTGGAAAACTCCTGCGTGAGAGGAAATGATAAACCCTCAGAGATAAGTTCTTGTTCCTGATGTTCATTATTCGTGAACTTTGAAGAACTGAAAGCCATTTTGGTTGAGACACTTGAGCATTCTTTAGTTTTTAACAATGTAATAAAGAGAAAAAAAATTCCCAAACTTATAATTAGATTCATTCAACAAATACTTGATAAATAATTAATCAGCAGCCGTTACTGGCTATCTGTCTGCCAGGCGTTGTCCTTTGTGGGCCCTACTGATACGGTAGGGAATACGGCAGGCGAGTTCATTGTTTTCATGCACCTTACAATGGAGGAGGAGGTGATAAAAAAATTTACACATTAAATGTCATTAAAAATTGATAAAAGGGTATTAAAAAGGAAAGAAAGAAAAAGAACAGGGTCTATGAGCGTTTGGAACAGGGGCCTAACCCAGCAAGCCACCCCTGAGAAAGTGACTCCAGGCTGTTCGTTACCCGGGGGAAGAGCAGCGGCTGGCAGGGAGATGGTGCTGCACTTCGGCCTTCATTCGTTCATTCACTCCTTCCCTTGTTTATTAAAGGCTAAGGCATGTGGTGTCCCTGTAGTCACTGGCATCTAGTAAAGACATGACGGCGGCCTCATCAGCGCTCAGCCCTAGCGAGGGAGGACACCCAGGAGCGTAGCCAGCACACAGAGGAAGGCATGATGGGGGGGGAAACGCCGTCAAGTTACTGTAGCAGTGTTGGGACAGATCATTAGGGGAGCGGGACACGTAATTAGGTAAAGTTACTAGTTACGGCTTCAGGACAAAAAGTTGAAGGACGAGAAGCCACTGGCTTCCCAAGCTGGGGTTTGAGTAAAGAGCACATTTGAAGTCCTAGATGAAGAGCTTGGAGTTAGACTCTGCGGCGGGTCGCCTGTGGCCGGAGGGACACAGAGCACGGTGCCAGAGTTGTGAGTAAAGACGCCAGACCGTGTCCAGAGAGTTGAGGTTTTATGCTAGGCTCAGGCAAGGGACAGAGGGATGTTGATTTTAGATTTGTGTTTTCAAAAGATCATTCTGGCTCATGTGTGAACACTGAACCGTAGTGGGGAGAAACAGCTACAGGGGGACCAGTTTGTCGGCGGCACGGGGGTCCGTCTGGAGGAAACGGTGGCACTTAAGCGAGCGTGCTGGCCGGCCGGTGCCGGCACACTGGAGAGTCTGGCGCCTGCCGGAGGAGGGCACATTTCCAGAGCAGTTTGCTCTTTTAATCTCTGTCGCCTTTGGGACACTTTTAGAACATTCACGTGGAGGTACTGAGCAGGCAGTTGGAGATCTAGTTCTGGAGCTCGATAAAGATGTTTGGGCTGGAGATCGGAGCATTCCACTGTGAGCTTTTGGGAAACTGTCAGGATCATTCACTGAAAACAAAAGGGCTTCTGGAAAAGATGAAGCCGGAAGCAGATTACCAAATGTATGCGACTCTGTAACCAGAGCGCCAAGAAAAATAATTCTAGAAAATTCCAGCAGCACTTAAAAAGGTTAAGTTGTTTAGTAAATAAAGAAATACTCCGGTAAGCATAGGCTTTAACTTTTTTAGGAAAAGAGAAAAGGTAACTTGATCGAAGGGACTATAGAAGGGTTGAAGCTGCTCAGGCAGAGCCACACAGTGTGTCGTTGGCAGGTGAATGGCGCCACGTGGAGCTGCTTCCGCCCCATTGTCCTCGTTTGGCTGTCCTGCACGGAGGTCGGGGACCCACAGGATGAGCTCTTGTCGACCAGGCTCTGGCCAGTTGGAGCCAAGAAGAGGAGTATGGGATGGTTTTCCCCGTTTCGTTTGTGTGAATGTATTCTCTCCCACCGTTAACTTGGTGCTTCAGAACATTAATGTGCTTTGAAAAGTCATGTGTGGCCTCGCGCAGTTTCCATATCGTCCCGGTGTTCTCTTTACGGCCACGCAGGAGCCGGTCCCCTGTACTGTAGAAGCAACAGCAGGTGATACATTTACGAACGTCTGCGTGTCCGCCATCGGACCACCGTGCGACGGGCGGTTCCTGTCAGGAGGGCGTGCAGAGTGAGAAGGGGGGCCTGGGGCAGCCCCGAGGACCTGCGGTTCTGAAGGTAGTGACTGACCGCCATCAGCCTCTGGTTTATCCGTGACCATTTGTGATCGCTTCTGTTTTTAAAAAATGTATTGCCTAAGTGTAAAAATCTGGAGATTTCATATAGGAGTTCAAAAGTCTGCTCTTCTTCAGAAGAAAAGTCAGAACATCTGTCAACAGTCAATCCACATTTCCTGGATGACATCAGTGGCTGTGTGTCACTTAGTGGGAGCAGTCCCCCCGCCCTGCCACGACCTTGGTTGGGATATGCATTCTTCAGCGGCCGTCAGTCCTCAGTGTCCTGTCGCGTGCCGCGCCTGGCCTGGGTCATGTGTTCAAGCAGGGCATCTGTCTCAAAGGAACATTTTAGTTTGTGGCCTCTAAGGGTTATGAAAAGGAGCATATAAAAGGTGGGGGGATGAGGCAAAGGTGAGCAAGAGGACGGACGAGGTGGTCAAGTGTATTGTCTGCGTAAGCGTTAGAGTCGCCCGAGAGACCACTTACAGGAGGTGGGCTTGGAAGAATAAATGCCAGCCTGGTGTCAGGGTCCTCGGGAGACGAGATAGTCTGATACGGGAACATGCCTGCTTTAAGAAGAACTTGTGGGGCGCCTGGGTGACTCAGTGGGTTAAGCCTCTGCCTTTGGCTCAGGTCATGATCTCAGAGTCCTGGGATCGAGCCCCACATCGGGCTCTCTGCTCAGCGGGGAGCCTGCTTCCCCCTCTCTCTGTGCCTGCCTCTCTGCCTACTTGTGATCTCTCCCTCTCTCTCTGTGTCCAAAAAAAAAAAAAGAATAAGAATAAGAACTTGTCTTCCTCCCCTTTAAAAAATAACAAAACCATTAAGATCTCTCTGAAGTCACTGTTCTGACACAAATTTTCTGTCATAACTGGAGTCCTCCACAAACTCAGCCCCGCTACTGTGCAGGACAAGTCTCCACGCCCCTATCCACCCACACTCTTGTCTGGCCTGCTACGGATTTGGGGTCCCCACAGCCACTCAGCTTTGATACTTTGGTAGAATGACTCAGAACTTACCGAAACCACCGTACGTAGGGTTACAGTTTTGTTACAAAGGATGCAGGTCAGGAATTGAAGAGATTCATGGGGCCACGTCTGGAGTGGAGAAGGAGACACTCCGCTTCCGTGCCCTCTTTTTGTGGCATCTGGGTGTGTCACCCTCCTGGCACAGCACCAGGTTCACCAATTAAGGTGCAACATTGGGCCTGTGGGGCTAGAGTTTTGGTTGGGCTTAACTGCATCCGCATGGTTAATTAAATCACTGGCTGTGTAATGGAGCCCCATCTCTCGCCCCCTCCACTCACTGTAGATTGGGCTGGCCCCAAATCTTAGTCCCTTACTCCTGCGATTGGTCTTTCTAGTGAGCTGCCCCATCAGTGAGGCGATCTTGGGGCCCACCTAAAGTCCCTTCTTTGGCGTGACAAAGACACTTCTGTCACTCAGGAAATTCCAAGGGGTTTTGAAGCTCTTTGCCAGGAATCTGAGACAAAGAACAGATAAATTCTTTATTATATCAAAAGTCTGAATTCTTCTGTTAGCTTGTATCTTGAAGCCTCTCTATCTCCTTCACAGTCACTCTTTTGGTAAGTGGATAGAAAGGTGTCTTAATTTTTTTGTTTTAGGTTTTATTTATTTGAGAGAGAGAGACACCACAAGAGGGGGAAGGGCAGAGGGAGAAGCAGACTGTCTGCTGAGTGGGGAGCCTGGCGTGGGGCTCAGTCCCAGGACCCTGAGATCATGACCTGAGCCCAAGACAGATGCTCAACTGACTGAGCCACCCGGGCATTTCCAACCACCGCCCCCCCCACCCTGCCCATTCATAGTTATTGTCTATTGTTTGCTAGGAGCAAGGAATGCAAGCATGAATAAAATGTAATTTCCTGCCATCAGGAATTTACTGTTCAGCAGAAGACATAGACGT